ATGGGACACTTTTGTTTGGATAGCGAGGCACGGAGAAAAGCCCCTGCAGGCCAGTACATAGCAAATAAAGGTGGGTGTGAGGCTAATCTGGGCTGGCTTGGGAAGGCACCTCTTGGGTCCCACTGGCCACCTCCTTTTCCTGTTGACTCTGGGTGGGAACCGTGTAAACAGTCGGGGTTGTGGGTTTACGTGCTGCTCTGCTGGGCACCTGGAGACCACTGCTGCAGCCCTGGATGGAGCCAGTGGTAACTCTGGGGCAAAACGGCCAGCCGGTGGGGAGAGTATAGGCTTCAGAGTGAGCCAGTCCTGGGCCCGTGCCCAACTTGGCCTCCTGAGACCCATCGCATGGGGCTGAAGACTCGCTGGCTGCGTGAAGCGGATGGTGTCTGACATGATCCATCTCAGAGCGGCCAGGGAGCCCACCAGCTCCTGCAGAAAGACGCACAGCCGAGACAAGGTGTGAAGAATTCCATGCTCCACTTCATCCCTGGGTGACTTTGGGCAAATCGCCTACCCTCTCTGGGCTTCCACTCCTCTGCTTATAAGAGAGGAGCACAATTTCCCCTTTGCAGGGTCCTCCGGCAGCTCTGGTGACATCTTAGTGTAGAGCCCAAATGTGACTGGGTGGGACACATGGCCCATCAGGTGTCCAAGGCTGCCCAGCAAGTGAGCCAACTGCTGGTGGCTTAAAGCAACAAATGCAGATTATGTCGGGGTGGGTACAGGTCGGGCACTGGGTGTGGGCCAGCTGGGTGCCGCTGGCTCTGGGCCTCTTGGGAGGTTGCAGTGCAGCTGGGAGCTGGGGTGGCGGGCATCTGAGAGATCCACACCCAGGATCACTTGTGCAGCTTCAGGCAGACCTCGATTCCTTGGGGAGTGGGGAGGGGGGTCCCATCGGCTGCGGGTGTCCTTATCACATGGCAGCTGGTGGTGCACGTGTGTGACAGAGACAGAGATGGAGAAAGGCACAGAGGACCCAGGGCAGGAGTCACATTTTCTTCATAACCTGATCTCGGAAGGACGCATCCTTCACAGGGGATCTTCGGAAACCACATGGAGACTGCTGCCTTGGTGGGGACTGCAGTAGGCAAGTGGGGCTGACACCTTCCTTCTATGGGGCAGAAAGGGCAACCCAGGACACTGGCCATCTCCCCCTCTATCAGACGGGAACACAGCCTCTCCCAGGTGACCTTACAGGTTGCGTGTGAGCGAAAGACTACATGGCGCGGTGTATCCTTTCAGATGAGGATGCCACTCAGTGTCACAAGCTAGCTGGTGTGAGGGTGGCATTCCTATGCCATTAAGGGATCCTTAGGTGAGAACTAGTGAAAACCCACCCTAAAGCCACCATAGTCCAGACATGGTGGTACACACTTGCCATCCCAGCACTCTGGGAAGCTGAGGCAGGATAACTGCAAGTTTGAGCCCACCCCAGGCAACTTAGTAATTTGGTGAGCTACTGCCTCAAAATAAAAAATAAAAAGGCCAAGGGAAGTAGTTCTGTGTGAAGTCCCTGTGTTCAGTCCCTAGTACTGCAAAAATAAGCACTGAACACCAACCCCCACAGGACCCCATCCCCCACAGGACCCCATCCATAGGGTGCATTGTCGCTCAATCAGTTTGCACTGAACCTTCAACCAGCCCGGGCAGGGCAGCGTGTACTCGGTCACTCATTCATTCATTTGTTCACTCACTGAGCCCCAGGCATGTTCAAGCCCCTCGCAATCCCATTCTTCGTAATAGGAGCAATGCTGTATTACTGACTCTTTACCGATGAGGAAACTGAGGCTCAGAGAAATGAAAACAAATGCCTCCCTGAGCTCACACAGCTACCTGTGACTCAGTCCAAAGGTCCTCTGCATGGCCAGGCCACACTGAGCTCTGGGAAAGTGGCCACCCTGGCCTCAGTCACCCTAGTGGGACTTCGTCACTCTGCACCTTAACTGCCTGAGCCCAGTCACTGGGAAAACACCACTGCCACGTTAGCCTTATAGAGAGGCCCGTGACAAGGGTACAGGGAGGGCAAGTCTTGGGCCCTCTGAGCTGCTGGTGTCCCTCACACCCACAAACCTCCACCCAGAGGTTTCATCTAGGCTGTGGATATGTTCATGGGGCCCATTCAGTGTTTAATCTCATCCTAAAATTAGGGTTGAAATAAGTTCTCCCTATGAAGTTTAGGCTGGGCTTGAGTTTACGGTAATCCTCCTGCACCACCATGACCACCTCCAGCATTTAAAAATTAAATGATCATGAAATTTAAAGTTTTCAGCCTTGATTGAGAAACGGGCAGACCGGGCTACGCTGGAACCGCAGTCCCACCGACGACAACTGGTTGTCATCCCCCTTGCCCCGGCAGGTGCCTCTTGATCCTTCGCTCCCGATGCCTTCCCCTGCTTGTGTCACCTGCCCGGTCCCACAGGCACAGGCTTGCGATCGCCACAGCGCTCCTGAGCCTGCACAGACTGACTGTCCTTTGGCTCTCTGAGGTCTAAAGGCGCTGTGAAAGGCTCCAGGCGATAGCCACCCCCAGCACGCCGGATGAGAAGCCACTTGGGGTGGTGGGGAGCAGGGTGACCTGGTCTATGAGTAGCCGGCAGCCAGGTAAGTGCCGCCACCACCTGTACCATCTCACCTGTGCCTGGCATCCTCAAGGGCTGGGTGTGGCTCAGCATGGCTCAGCCTAGGGGCTGTCTCTCTCCTGACATCACTGGTGACACCATAGCCGAGCCTGGGGGAAGGCGGAATTTTCTCTGGCTCAGACAGGAGGCAGTGATGATGGCCGATATTTCCAAAGACAGGAGGAGTAATAGGAAGGAAGGAAGCTGGGGGTGGGGGCATGGGGCCATTGATGTCTCCCCAGTACTAACCTATACCATCAGACCCCACCCTGGCTTCAGGGCCCTCTCTAACTGCACCCACCCAGGGCCTGCAGCTCTTGCTTAATATCACAGCTTTTCCTTGAGGTGCCCTGACCCCTTCCCACGTAGATTGGCCTCGGCTTATCCTCCTCTGGAACCACCTCTTCGGATCTTTGTGCCTCTGTTCCTCAGACACAGTCAGTCCAAGTTACCCCCTCCCCAGGTGGAAACCGTCTCCCCTGTCCCCCAGTTCCACAACTCCAGCTGCTTCCTGGTTCTATGGAGCTTTGCTGTTTCTCTCCTGCCCTGTTCCCATTCCCACCCCTTGATGACAGCAAGGAGGGCTTCACATGCAGTAACCTTGACCTTGGAGTCAGACAGAGGGTCCCAGCTCCCACACTCTGTGCTTGAGCAGTTCACTCCCGAGCTCCCGGGCTTGGTCCCATCTGTCAATGAGCTCAGGGTTGGGGAGGGCTTCGAGGGTGGAAGTGGCCACAGGCGGAGGCAGCTGTCCCTGGGACAAGCCGCTTACACATCACCAGGGTGGAGAATACACAGGGGACCCCCCAAGAGCAGGCTGGAGGGGTGATAGGATCCCACTGCCCCTCTCAGGGCGCTGAGTGCTGTGTGAGCTAGGACCTGGAACTGGCTGCAGGGGGCTTTGGGCTTTTAGGAAGCTGCCCAGCAAGGCCTACGGGGTGATTCCTCTGCTCCGCTCTCAAGTCTGCAGTGTGCACAGATATTGGGGGGGTCTGGGAGAGGTGCTAAGGGCTCAGGAGGGCAGGGAGCACATGGGACCCCCCGCCAAGTTGGGCCTGTGTACTTCATGACACAGTCACAAAGGAAAACGGGCCAGTCTCGAGGGCAAAGGGAGGGACCATCATGGATTGGGACAGGGAGACCATTGATGGCTTCCCAGAGCTATTCAACACCATTCTCAGCCTGGCCTGATGGGGAGGACCCTGGCAGGGGCTCCCTGAGTGCCCAGGCTCTTCCAGGATCAGGAATGTGAGGACGGGCTATCAGATGTCTCATGGGACTAGGACACTTTGACTTCATGCATCTGACTGCCCCATCCCCAGCCATGAGCTGATTCAGGGACTGGGATGGATCAGTTCAGATCTAGTCCCAGTTCCAAGGCACCTCCTCCGAACCTCAGCCCCCTGTCCTTCTCTGGCCACTCTGGAGCACCTGCAGTGGAGACCCACAGCTCTCTGAACCCCAAAGCCTCAGAAGTAAGACTAGGCTCTGTTGTCACCACTATTCCCTGGCCCAGGACTTAACTGTGATAAATCCCCTGGCCCCTCTGGTTCATGTTACCCTTGGAACAAACCTCAATGGAAGGGGTTAAAATGAGCATGGCACCCTCCTCACAGGTCTGGGAGGATTGGCAGAGCCTGGCCGTGGGACCCAGGGTTCTCTGGGCCCTGCCAGTGCTGTCCTCCCTCTGGGCCTCAGTTTCTTATCTGCAGAGTACAGGACTGTTCTAGGGCGAGTGTTGGCCCTGGCCAGGTTGGTGGGGACAGGGGCTGTCCTCTGTGGGGTAAGCAGGAGGAATGAGGCCTGGCAGGAGCACTAGGCCCCAGATGCATGTCCTGTCTTCCTGGCAGAAAATGTGGTCCCTAAAAGCAACAAGGAACAGGCCCAGGCCAGGGCAAGAGATGACCTCGCGGGTGACTGGGGAGGTGTCACAGTAATCCCGCCTCTAATGGCAGTCCAATTTCTCAGACCTTCAGTGCTAGCCTCTGCCTTGCTCTGTCTGTCTGCAGGGCTATGAGGGTAGGGGCAGCAGGGGGCCTTACACAAGAAAGGGTACAAATGGAGATTTTTGTTAGGATATGTAAATACCAACCTATGGAGGCTAATATTTTGGCGTTAACCACTCCAGAGCATTTTTTTCCTCGTAAAAACTTTATTGAGACCCTCACAGAAATGGAACTCGCCCCCTTTTGAGCGGTCGTGTCTATCCTTCAGGGTCTACGGCACGTAGGGCGGGCTTTGTGCTCCTCGGCCCCAGGAGCTGGCTGTGCTGCCCCTTACAGCCGGCAGGGAGCGCCCGCGACAGGCCTGGAGGGGGCGTGTCGGGGGCGTGTCGGGGCGTGGCCTAGAAGTCCGGAGGACCAATAAAGTGGCGGCTCACCGCCCGCGAGGATCGCTTCCTGTGTGCGACCCGGACCTGGCTTGCTCCGCTCTGCTCACCCGCTTCGGTGGCACCCGCGTCCGCGATGCTGGCCTTGCGCTGCGGCCCCCGCCTGCTCGGCCTTCTCTCCCGCGCCCGGTCCGCGCCGCTGCGCCTCTCTGCGGCCCGCGCCTGCAGCGGCGGCGACGCTCGCGACCCGACCTCTACCTCCGGGAACCCGCTCGTCTACCTGGACGTGGGCGCCGACGGGCGGCCCCTCGGCCGCGTGGTGCTGGAGGTGAGGCGGCTTCCCCGACGGGGCCGCCGGGTGGGGCGGGGGCGATCTCCGGGCTCCCGGGAGACCCGGCCCGGCCGGCGCGGTACCTGGCGTTTGGGTGACCTTGGGCCTCCCGCTTCCGCGCCCTGGGCCTCAGTTTCCCCGTCTCTGAGAAGGGGCATCGGCTTGGTCCCTTCAAACCTCCCCTGGAATGGCGGAGGCTGGGCGAGGCGGCGGTGGTGGAGGAGGCTCAAGGTCATCGCGGAGGGAGAGGGTCAGCGCCCTCGGCCGGCCGGGCTGGGAGGGAGGTTCCGGGGTCGGCGCCCCGACCCGAGCTCGGTGGTGGGTGCAGCGGCCCCGGGGCCGGGTGGCGTGGCGTGGCACGCGCTCACGTGGCAGCCCTTGCTTAACGTGGCACTGCCCGCCCCCGCCGAGGCCCCCCTTAGCGCAGTGAGTGTGGCAGGCCACTGCCCGGCCACCAGGCCACCAGATGGACCAGGGTGGCTGCCTATCAGGAAGTAGAGCAGTGTGCTGGGTCCCCCAAGCCCAGCCACCCTTCTAGGGTCCACACTGCATGTCTCCCCGTTTCTTTGGGCCATTTTTAAAGCAAAGTAAGAAACATGATTGCCAAGGTAACTGGGAAGGGCTGGCCGGCCCCACTTTGAATAAACGGGCCAGTTGCCCTGACTGGTCTGTTTCCAGGGAGCCTGGGTATTTCCTGTGAAGTCTGTTACCCCTTCTTCCCACGGGAGGCACCCTCCCCACTTGCTTTTGGTGTGAGAGTGAATCTTGAAGCCGAGCTGGGAGGGGCTGGCCTGGATGGGGCTCCCCCGTCCCCTGCTCCCCCCTCCTGTCTCTCTCTGGGCCTCGGTTTCCCATCTGCGCACTGAGGGAGTTAGACAGGCTTTTCCCTGGTCTAGGCTCTGAGGCGGCCTCCAAGGCCAGGCCCAGGAAGCAGCTGCCAGGGGCGATAGCGACCTCCACAGCTGTCTGTTGGTTTGCAGTGACAGGGCGGGCTGCATGGGTCTTTCTGTATGGGTCTTTCTCACTGAGCCTGCCTTGGCATTGACCGTTTTTTCCTTCCTCTTCCCTCCTCACAGCTGAAGGCGGATGTTGTCCCAAAGACAGCGGGTAAGGCAGGGCCGGGTACTTGAGTACAACCTGGGTTGAGGGTAGGTGGGTTCCACGTGAGGCTCAGCTAGCTGCTGGGTGCTCCAGGGCGGCCTCTGTCTCTCTCTGGGCCTCACCTGTGGCTCCGCCCACCTCTCTGTAGTAAGCTGGGAGCCTCAGAACCAGGGGCAGGCACATGTGGATTCCCAGAGACACCTGCCCCTCCTGCTGCCCGTGTGTGTGTGTGTGTGTGTGTGTGTGTGTGTGTGTGTGTGTGTGTACATAGCCCTTGGGGGCACTCCTGCCCTGCTGACCTGGCAGGCCCAGCCAGTAGCCCGTGCTCTTGTCAGGGTGTTGGGCCTTGGAGTTGGGTGAAGGCAGTGACTTGTCCCGGTCCCAGTTAGCCTGGCAGAGCAGATCCAGCAGGTGGGCGGGTGCCCCCTCCTCCCTCCTGGGGTTATTGGGGCGCAGGCCTGTTGACTGCCTCTCTCCTCTCAGAGAATTTCAGAGCGCTGTGCACAGGAGAGAAGGGCTTCGGCTACAAAGGCTCCACATTCCACAGGGTGATCCCGGCCTTCATGTGCCAGGTAACGCGGCCCTCCATCCTTGGTCTGTCCTTCTGGATGTGGGGTATTGCTAGGGACGTGCATAAACCCGTGGGTGCCAAGGGCATAGGAAATGCTGGATGGGGCTGCCAAGCTGGCCCCCTGGCTTGTGCTCACCCTGTAGGCCGCAGTTGTGCAGGCCATGATGGTCCTTTTCTGCCCCAGAAGTTAAGGACACCTGCCCAGCTGCGGGGAGGAGAGCCTGCCAGGGTGAGCTGGGGTTGGGGTGCAGATGTGTGAGGGTGTTTATTGACCTGTAGGTTTTGAAGGACCAGCAGAGTCACACAGTCTCTGTGTCCCCCTGAGCCCTGGGCATGGGAAATGAGAGGAAGAGAGAGGAGGAGGAAGGAGACCAGGCTGAGCTGGCACTTGCGTGCCCGGGCTTGCAGCCGCTGTTTCCGGCAGAGGGCATTGTTCTCTGCTGAGGAGTTTACTCTCTGCCCATGTGCCCGCCTGGCTTTCAGAAGCCTTAGTATTGCTGTGTCTGAGCCTGGGATTAGGTGTTGGCAGCAAGAACTTCCCAGGGGTCTGGACCTACACAGTGCTGGGGGTTGTCCTGTTACAGCAGACCCTCAAGGTCAAGGCCTGGAGGACCTCTCCAAAGTCCTTTCTGCCCAGAATTCTCTCCCCTCCCCTCCCTCGACCTTGTAGCAGCCACCATGGTGTGTGGCAGCAGGTCGGGGCTGGGCCTGCTGATGCTCTGCTGCCTGGATCCCAGTGGAAGGTGGCCCAGGCAGGGGAGGAGCTTACGGGGCTGTGCTTGTGGGGCAGGCCTGGCCAATCTGTGGACCTTGTGCCGCAGACGGTCCTGGTACTGCCTGAGGCAGAAGGCCAGTCAGCGCTTTGTGTATGAGGGGGAAGGGTTCCCGAGGTCACGTGTCTGGGGACACCTTACTGGCACCTGTTGGTGCCTCAGCTGGTCTACGCAGGTCACCTCTGTCCTGAGGATGCTGTCTCAGGAAAACCATAGTGTGGCTGTGGCCAAGGCTCTGCGGGACACAGCTGGTGACAGAAGTCCTGCCAGGGCCAGCTTTGAGGAAGAATGCCAGCCCTGGTGGGCCCTGTCCTGGGTCTGCTGGGTTTGTGGGGGACTCCTGGGCGCCTCCTCATTGCTTTCTAAGAACTGGGGGTTGCAAGTCCTACGTTACTAAGCATCAGAATGCCCTTTAGGTCCTTTGAGGAATGCTTAACAGCTTGCTGAGACAAAAAGATATTGTTCAGAAACCAGGATAGTTGTTACAGCAGAAAATATTTAAGCTCGATTTTTGCTTGTTTGCCTTATTAGCTCATTGATCCTCATGTCCTTGGGTATTTATTGGCCTGAGGGGCTCCTAGCGGGTGGCCCTGGGGTGGGTGGCGACCATTCAGAAGTTGTTCTGTGCACAGGGGGGCGACTTCACCAACCACAACGGCACAGGGGGCAAGTCCATCTACGGGAGCCGCTTTCCCGATGAGAACTTCACGCTGAAGCACGAGGGGCCAGGTGAGTGGGAGCTGCGTCCCCCTCGAGCGCCCACACCCTGGCCGTTCCCACCAGGCCACGACTGCTCCGCACCTGTGTGGCACCTCGCTTCCTCCAGCATCTGGTCTGCTCTCATTTCTGGCTTGCTAGGTTTCCCTCCAGCTTTCCCATCCCACCCTCAGTTTAAAAACAGCCTTCCCTTGGGGAGCTTAGGAGAGCGCCTTTAAACAGAACCGCGTAGAGATGTCATGTGCGAGACCCAAAGTGGAATGTGGAATGCTGCACCACTGACAGTTTCTCTGAGGCCCTTTCCTGCCAGGCCCTCTGCTGTGGTGGCAGCAAAGCAGCCGAGCCCTGGGTGCTGCTGGTTGGGGGCCCTGGTTCCTTCCTGGGAGTGTCCTTGGTGTGCTTTGCGCTCTCCTCACTTCTCAGTGGACACACCCACGCGGTGTGTGCCCTCAGCAGCAGGACCCACTCTTGCTGTTTCTGCAGGTGTCCTGTCCATGGCCAATGCGGGTCCCAACACCAACGGCTCCCAGTTCTTCATTTGCACCATAAAGACAGACTGGTGAGTGCCCCCTCCAAGCACTCCTGGGGTACAGGGGTGCCCTTGCAGCTGGGGTAGGGTTCGTGCAGGTTCAAGGAAAGCCATGTGTGGCTGGGGTGTCCACTCGGGGACAGTGACTCTCTCCTGGGCTACATATCTGGATGAGAGGGCAAAAAAGCTGAGGGCAAAGCTGGGTTGTTCCTGTGACTCTGCCATAGTTAGATTTCCTGTTACTGCTGTTGGCTGGAATTTGCGTGCACACGTACACACACGCACGCACATGCACACACACACAGGGGTCCTGTACCATAGACCCTCCTGTGGGAAGTGCTACAGCAGATTAGGCCTCATGGTGTGGCCTGAGTAGAAGCCAGTCTGCTTGTTCTGACCCAGGATTTCCCAGGCTTTCCTCCCCTGTGGAATGTACCTGAGGACATGCTGTGGTGGACCGCTGGATGTCACAGCGGGTGGGCTAAGCCTGCAGAGGGCTCCCAGCTCCTGGCAGCCCCTTCCCATTGTCCGGGGATTGTACAACTGTCTTGGTAAACTTTTCACGAAGGGATGTTTCTCTCTCCAGAGCCCCCTGCTGTCCTAGCTCTGGGACATCTAGGTTACAGGGACAGCAGCCGGCCAGGAGCTAAGCTGAATAAAGCCCCTTTCCAGGATTTTAGGGATCCCTAGGGCATGGGTAGATGCTGGCGTCTCTACTTTTCGGGTGAGAAAGATGGGGCGCCAGGCCGGGCAGGCCATAGCTGACTCCTTCCTCTCCGCTTCTTCCGTGGAGCCCTTCCCCGGCCCTGGAGTTGTGCCCAGGGCTGTCACCACTTCACTTAGCTGCTCCAGGTGCCTCGGACACTCTCGGGCTGCCGTGTTGCACACCTCTTGCTTTGGTGCTCACTTCAGAGATCCCGACTCCTAAAGGGGATCCGGTTGTGTGCACTGGGTGCTTTTTCCGAGTAGCTCAGTGCTTATCCTCTCCCTGGGCAGAACAAGAGTAGCTCACTTTGCACACACAAAGTTACCAGGGTGCAGGCCACGGTTACTAGGGCAGGGTCCCATGGCGCAAGAGGGCGGAATGTGTCCTGGAAGCCGGGCGTTCTGTGGGGTGCACCTAGGGAGCTCAGCAAGACCTGATCAACTTTCGAGGGGTGGATCCAGCTATTCAGGATGGGGTTCCATTCAGGACGGCTATTTTTGGCAAATATTACATGACCACACGGCCAGGATGTTGGGTTGCATTTGTCTCACGCCTGCTCACCAGGCCCCTGCTCCCCACAGGTTGGATGGCAAGCACGTGGTGTTCGGCCACGTCAAAGAGGGCATGGACGTCGTGAGGAAGATAGAATCTTTCGGCTCTAAGAGTGGGAAGACATCCAAGAAGATTGTCATCACGGACTGTGGCCAGTTGGGCTAACCGGTGGCCAGGGTGCTGGGACGTAAGCAGCTGCCTGTGGGTTGACTCACCCAGGTTGCCACCGGGGACTCTTGGGCAAGGTGCCTGGAAAAGCTACATGTGCTCATCCACTGCCCCTGTGCGCGTGAAGGAGGCCACTCAGGACTGTGCACTCCCGGGCCTCGTGCCCGCCCTTCCTCACCCACCCACTGTGGCCATTGCCCCACACACCCCTCAGGAGGCGCCTGAGCTCCTCTGTGCCTTAGATGGTGGTGGCTGTGATGGGATAGCATTCAAGTCACCCTGACTGAGGGGACCGCCAGTTGCTGCAGAAGGACTGTCATATCTGTGTACTGTTGTCTTCCTAATTGCAATAATTTACTGAACAAGGCAGCCTAGAAATGAAGCTGTGACATGACTTGGTTGGTAACACAGGTCCCAGAACCCCAGATCCTGGCTATTACAACACAACTCAGGGCTCGTGTGAAAGTTCCCCAAGACCGAGGCCTTTCCTCTGGTTACTGTGAGACCTTTTGGTTTGCTGCTGTCAACTCTGAACCTGGAAACAAACCCGCTGTGAGCCGCGCCCACTCAATGTGAATTCCTGTGTAGGAACAGAAGCGGCCTGTAAAGGCTCCTGGTTCTGCAGGAAAGTACTTCCTGTGGGCTTTGCTTTTCCAGTGTGTGTTGAATAAATTCAGCCTACTGATGATGTATATGAAAGATTTCAGGAACATTTGTGTTTACCTCCAATGTGGTAATAAATCTTATTTTCTACAAGACTGGTGACTGGTTTTAGAGAGAAGTTGTATATAACTTAAATTTTTAAAGCCAGATTTTAATGTTACCATGTGTCTAGTGCTATGCAAAGGACATTTTTTTTTCTCCCGGTACTGGGGATGGAACCAGGGCCTCAGTAATGGTTGGCATATGCTCTACCACTTCTCCAAAGATGTGTGGACCACCAGAAAGCACATGAGAAGATAGTGGACATCCGTAGTCACCAGAGAAATGCAAACCAAAGCACAATGGGATACCACTTCACACCTATGCAGAGGGTTAGTATGAAAAAGCCAGGTGGTAATGAGTGTTTGCAAGGATGAAGAGAAATCGGAACCTTCGTACCCTTATGTTTGGAAAATAGTCTGATAGTTCCTTAGATGGATTTAAATGTAGGTCCACTCAAAAACTTGCACATGATTGTATATAGCAGCATTATTAATAGTCAAAGAGAAGAAACGACTTGTTCTGGCATTTCCATCTCTGGGACACAGTGCCTGGCAGCCACAACTTGGAAAAGGAGAGGTTTATTCTAGCTCAGTGTTCAGGGGGGTCAGTCCATGGTGGGCAGCTCCAAAACAGAAACAGTATGATGGAAGGACCTGGTGGAGGACGGGGCTCATCCTGTGGCAGGAAGCAGAGAAAAGCTGAGGACAAGAATACCCACTTCCATGGCACAGCCCCAGTGCCCACCCCCAACGAGGTACCTCCTAACCACATTCAGCCATGAACTCATCACGATACCTGCCGGTCCAACCTCCTAAAAGCCACACCTCTGAACATGACTTTTGGGGGACATTCTAGATCTAAACCATAGCACAAACCAAAGGCCCATCCATGGGCAAATGTCCAAACACGGTGTGATGTATCCATACAATGGAATTCACTGGACACTAAAAAGGAAGAAAATAGTGATGCTTGCTCGCTCCAACCTGGGTAAACTTGGGAACCATATGCTAAGTGAAAGAAAATAGTCACAAAAGACCACACACTACATGATTCTATTCATAGGGAATGTCCATCACAAGGAGGTCTGCAGAGAGAAAGTAGATTCATGGATGCTCAGGGATGGAGGAGATAGTTGTGGAGATGCCAGCAGGTGATAACTAAGGTGCAGGAGCTTCCTCTGTGGGATAATGCAGATGTTCTCAAGTTCACCTTTCAGGTAGTTGTCATAGGTGAATGGTACCTCAATAAGTCTGCTTGCAAATGAGTAGTAGCAAAGTCTCACAATTCTTTGGGTATATAAGCTGTTTCTTCTACTTTCAAAGCAGTGGTCCCAGGTGAGATTATCACGGTATTTCTGAACAGAACAGCCTGTCCTCAGACACAGGAGGGCAGGCTAATTCCCCCAGCAAAGGAAGAGCCCAGTTATTTGAGGGCACACGTTGTTGGTTTCATTTGGAGCCAAGCGAAAATCAGGGTCCTTTCCTCATCACTGCCCTTTCACGTGAAAAACCAGGTAAGACTGACTTCAAATGATCCTGTGAGTCAGGGTCATTTAACCTTAAACAATGAAGGTTTTGTTCCACTGTAAAGTGCGGAGTCAGCTTAGTGCCTACAAAAAATAAGAGAGTCTTACGTGCTATTACCACCGAAGCTTTCTGATTTGCAGACTAACTTAGGCTGAGAATTAAAGAACACAAGTTTTCCATTTTCTTTTGATAAGCAGTCAAGTGGCCGTGGGATTCATCCCACACCAGAGTCTTTATGGTCATCATCACAGTCATAATGATCAAGTGCTGCAGGCACCTGGCCTCCCAAGGACATACTCCTCATGCTACAAAACCACAGGAGACAACATGACTAAGTCTGATGTTATTGCATTCCTTGGATCACTAGCATACTATTTCGCATGGCAAGAAGTTCAGCTCCTCCTTCAAGTCCAGGAGCCCGGCCCAACAATCTTCCAGACCCTGCACTTGGGTTATCTCCTGGGAACACGCTTGGTATCCATTCCGTATAGTCGGGATCCAGAGAGGAGACAGATGATACAGTAATTTGAGCAGGAACCATGGGATACCTAAGGGGAAGGACTGCTGAACGCCCCTCTCCAGTGCTCACTGCTGCTAAAGCTGATGATGAGTCCAGGAAGCAAGGGAAGGGGTGAGTGTCCAGAACAGGGCCCTGGAGGGAGGATTTAGAACTCAGAAACAGCGCATGGACACCCGGTGTGTTGAGCACTGCTTTCTTAGGCAATATGACATTCAGTGAAATATTTAGACCATTTATATTTAATGTAATTGTAAATGGGGTTAAATTGAAATGTACCATTTTACTGTTTGTTTTCCCTGTTACTTGGCTTTCATTCTTTCTGTCTGCTTTTTTTTTGGTTTTTCTCCGGTACTGGGAACCGAACTCACGACCTTGCGCATACCAGGCAGGCGCTTTTGCCGCTGAGCTAAATCCCCAGCCCCTGTCTGCTTTTGGATGGAGTTTTCTTCTCCGCAATGATTTCATTTTCATCTCTACTATTAACTTCTAGATTTTACTCTTCATTTGTAGTGGTTTATTTAGGGGTGGATAGATATCGGTTTAAGATAGCTGGATAGATAGTGATAGTGTACACTTATCATGAACTGGTTGCAAATAATATAGCCAGTTTACAGATAGTGTAAGAATTGGTGGGTCAGATGGTAACTTTATTTTTAACTTTTTTAAAGGAATTGCTGAACTTTTCCCAAAAAGCTATATTTTGCATTTCTGCCAGCAATGTCTGAGGGTTCTGATTTCTTCCTGTCCTCACCAGCCATGCTGTTATCTTTTTTATTGTAATCACCCTTGTAAGTGTGGTCTGTCCTTGAGGTTTTATTTTGCACACCTCCAGTGGCTTCCAACATTGAACACCTGCTCATGTACTTCCTGGGCATTTGTGTATCTTCTTTGAAGGAGTGTCTGTTCAGATCCTTTGCTTGTTTTAAAATTTTTTTGTTGTTGAGCTGTAGGAGCTTTTTATGGGTATAGATACAGATTCCTTATCTGATACGGATGGTCCCCAGTATATGATGGCTTGACTTAAGATCTTTAAATTTTATAATGATGTAAAGAAATACACATTTGGTAGAATGTACACTTTGAATCTTGATCTTTTTCTGGGTGGCAGTATGGGATACAATGCTCTTGCAACGCTGAGCAGAGGTGGTGAGCTACTCACCCAGCCAGCCACACCAGTCCTCTCGGTACCATGTTGCTATGGTACAGGAGCTTGGGCATATTAAATGCATTTCTTGGCTTTTAATATTTTCAACTCAGAATGGGGTTAGTGGACTGTAACCTCATCATAAACTAAGGAATATCAATACATAGTTTATATGTAGATGTCTCTCACTTAAGATATATTCTTTTTTTTTTTTGGTACTGGCAATTGAACTCTGGACCCCAAGCTTGCCAGGCAGGCACTTGTGCCACTGAGCTATATCCCCAGCCCAAGATAAGATATATTCTGAGAATTACATTAGTAGGTGATTTTGTCCTGTGGGAACATCATAGAGTTACTTACACACGGAGGGGCCCACAGCAGCACAAAGCAGTGTGATCCTGTGGGACTGTCACGTACGTGGTCTGTCCCTGACTGCAGCTTCCTGTGCAGCACACGACCGTTCATATGGCCCAGGCTTCAGAGAGCCTTGTGAACTCTCAGACCCCTTCCAGCACCAGCCGAAAACTGCAAGGATGACCCCAGGAAGCCCAAAGGCTGTTAGCCCAACATGGATTTCATCCCAGGTCAGGGAGATTGTCAGAGCCAAGACTTCTACAGGAGCCCTAGTTAGACACATGGGAAACTGAGGCCTGGAGGGGCAGTGGGATGCAGTCAGAGACAGTGGCTGAGAGCTCCCAAGTCAGATCCTAGCTCTCCTGATGCCAGAGGGTGAGCGAGAAAAGGATTGACTCTTACAAACAATAATGCTTCAAACTCAGTAGGCATGATAAATGGATTGTCCGACAAAAGAACACAATGATTAGACAAAAGAGACAGATCTATGCACGCACACTCATGCACACAGTGCGCACACGCACAGCTCTATAAGCAAAAAAGCTATAGAAGCACATGGCCAAGCTCCGGACGGTGCTATCTGGGGGAGAAGTTGGCCGCCTGGTCATGTTTTGTATCTTTCTGTGTAGTTTCCACCTCACGTTGTGCGTGCATTATTTTTATAATGAAGGTGGAAAAATCCAGATATGTCCATTCTGGAGTTTTATTCAAGCACAGCGAGGCCCGGGGAGGTCAGGGCTCACCTAGGATGTGGGGGAAAGAAAAAAGAATCTCCTTTTAATTCCCTTATACACTACTCACTTGGCTGCCAGCGGGAAGGTGTAGTTCTCAATTCAGCCACCAGAGGGCAGAAGGCAACCGGTTGATAGGCACGAGAGGAAAGCAAGCTGAGGAATTCCAAGCTGGCAAGTTTGTCAGCAGAGAGCCCCAAGGTTAGACGTCATCTAGTCTGTGCCTAGCCAAGGTCAGATTCCCAGGGAGAAGAGATACGGTCCCTGCCCTGTGCCAAGGGTCCTTTGCTAACAAAGATGCTACACGGGACAAGAGGGGAATGCCTTGGACCAGGGCGAGCCAACAGGTCCAGGCCTTTCCTGAGGCAGGGCGTGGGCCATGTCAGAGGCCCCACGGCCCAGCTTCCCCCGTCACCTCCTGTCAACAACTTGTTCACTCCGTATTCTGCTGCCATGTCCGGTTTGCTCTTGGCCATGGCCCTCAGGTAGGTAGGGGGGCACTGTCGTTCCCATTTGCAAAGGGGGAAACTGAGGCTCAGAAGGGCCCAGTCCATCTGACCTGAGTCCTTGCCCAGGATGAGGACAGGGAGGCAGAGATGAAGGTGACAGCAGTGCCACGAGCCCGGGTTTTTGAGCAGGACTTGGACCCCACAGTGGCCAGAGGGGTGTGGAGGGGCTGGGGAGCGAGGCTGAGCCGTGTGACTGGAATGGGAAGAGGGTGCTGAGAAGGGGCTGAGGGCTGTGCTGTGGTGTACAGGGAAGGGCCGCTGTCAGTGTGGAGGATGTGTGCGGTTCCCTGGCCCGGAACAGGCCCCGAGAGGCTGTGTGGCCAGACAGGAGTGCGGCCAGCAGGAGGGAAGGAGGGACGTGTGCCGGGACAGAGGCGCGGGCTGCTGGCTCCCTTGCTGTGACGCAGTGGGGACCAGCAGAGCTGCCCACCCCCGGGCGCCTTGCCAACTCTTCAGGGACAGACAGGGGAGGAGGCTGGGAGCTCCTTGGGGGCTGCTGCTCAGCTGTGGGAAGCAGAGGGCAGGGATCAGATCCCAGACTGAGTTCGGAGAGGCAGAGAGAGAGGGAGGAACTCTGCCCTATCAGTCACTCAAGCTCTCTGAACCTCAGCTTCCCCCTTTGTAAAATGTGAGTCACAGACTAGGAGGAGTGGAGCACATCTGTGATCTCAGCACTCTGGGGAGGCTGAGGCAGGAAGATCCCTCTTGGGCAATGTAGTGACTTAGTGGGGATGTGGCTCACGGTGAATCCCTCTTGGGCAATGTAGTGACTTAGTGGGGATGTGGCTCACGGTGAGAAGGCCCTGGTACAATCCTTGGTACTGAAAAAAAAAAATGACTTATCTTGGTCCCCGAGCACAATGGCTGTCACATCTGCACTCCCCTCCACTGCTTTGCACTTCCTTGGTCAGACTCACTGGAGCTCAGCTCCTGCCCAGTCGGGAAACAGCACGAACAGCTGGGGCGGCCGATCCAGTGTCTGGCTGCCCCTCCAGCAGGCGCCCTGGGTTAGCGGTCCTGTCCCCGCCCCCCACCTGCCCCCCATCTTGGATCATTTGGAGACAGAGCCCAAGCGTCTGATTTCCCCCTGCCACTGGGAGGCCAGCCCGGCTTTGGCTCACTGCTGGGCGAGGGTTTGGGGCTTGCTTCTCTCCCTCCCTGAGGTCCCCAGCTTGCAGCAGAGGAGCTGGGCGGGTTCTTCAGAAGCTCATTTCCCACTGCTGAGTCTCTGCCCCTCGAAAGTAGCATTGACTAAGAGAGGCCAAAGAGGGCGCCCTGGGCTCCGGGCTGGGGGGCCCCCATCTCCGCAGGGATCTGGCTGGGGTGAGGGGCATCTTCCTGGGGTGCTCAGCCCTTGCTGTGTGTGTGACTGTTCGCATGTGTGAGTGTGGGGAGAGGTGAGTGTGTGTGAGTGTGAGTATGTGTGCGTGCACGCATGCCCCAGAGGGACAGTGAGCAGGGCCTTTCCAGCTTCCTGGGATTCTGCTCCAGGATCAATGGTGGGGGAGGCGTTGGGGGCCCCAGGCCAGGACAGGCTGTTCCTGGCTCCGGCCACAGTGCTGTGGGAACAGCCAAACGCCACTGCCAAGGGAGCCCACCCCCAGCTGTCGCCTCCCCCTGCCCCAGCACCCGCCTCCCAAACACCCTGGCGGGGACAGGGACGACACGGGCCAGGCCCCACTGGCCGGGCAGCAGCTGGAAGGGCAGCATGTGCCTGATGGCCACCTGGGTCTGTGGAAGCTGGTCAGGATGTCCAGGCGGAAAGCTTGGCTCCCGAGGGCCACCCTAGCCCCTGGGCGCGGCCGCCTACGGTATAGTGGTAGGTGTCTGATTGTTGGAGGCCGGGTGCCTTGGTCACTTTTCTCTCGCTGCTGAGACAAAATACCCAACGCCCAAAATGAAGGAAGGAAAGATTTATTTAAGCTGACAGTTTGTAGAGGTTTCAGTCCACACTTGGCTGTCTCCGAGGCAGAAGATAGTAAAGCAACAAGAGCAAAGGGGGGAATGGCAGCCGAACAGCAAAGCAGCCAGAGCAAAAGGGCAGAATGGCACCAAGCAGCCTCTTTCCCTCCCTTACATTGTAAACAGGCTGCCCCCACCTAAGGGGCGTGTAGCTCTCACATAATCTCCATGCCCTCCTCTTCCACAGGCTCAGGATGTATACAAAGTAAGCACCCTGGCTCCCTGCTGAGTCACTTAGCCAAACCTCTAGACTCCCCAAGTTGACACAACCATAACACAGGGTCTGCCTCCATAAGCCCGTGCATGCCCACCCTCATGGGTCGGAACCAGCGCGGACCACAGAGGTGACGGGGTGCCACAGAGGACCCCACCTGTCATCTTCGGGGGCCAGGGGTCTGTCCCGCCTGTTTTTCCACCTGCCCTGTTGGCATGCTGTCTCCTCTGGCTCTTGCCAGGACACGGAGTAGGACTCAGGAGGCCGGAGTGAGTGATGGCCACCAAGGCCACCTCTTGCCCAGAGGAGCATCTGCGCGGAGGGGGGTGGGGGAGGTGGCAGGACAGCGCTGTCCCTGAGCTGTGGGCAGAACTGACTGCCCTCGGCTTACACGTGAGGGCATGTCACACCTTCTGACAGGGGTGACAGGCGGGGCGCTGGCCTGGGCCCCCTGCGCTGTGTCTGGAACTGACACCAACAGCGCCTTACGACCTCTCAGGGGGCCTGGTTGCTGCCGCCTCCCCACTCCCTTTCTGCCTGCTTGGTCTCAGTCCCAGCCCGGGCCTCACCGCCCGCCCCACCTCCGCAGCCCCGGGCTCCGCCTCCAAGCCCTGCGCTGGGTTCAACCCTGCCCCTGCCACATGCGCAGCGGCGCTCAGCTTCCACCCCAGCTCTGCTTCTCCGGCCCCCGATGCCCCTCCCTGTGCCCGCCGCTGGGCCCCTCAGCGTCCAGCTGCCCCTGGACGTCCACGCCTGAAGTCCAACCGGAAATCCTTCCTGTCCAGCGGAATTACGGCTTTTCCCGGCTCCGGGAGATGTCGAAACGCAGCGCAGGCTGTGCTAGCCTCGCGCGTGTTTTCTCGCGAAGCAAAATACGCAGGTGATGCACAGGGACCTTCAGAGCCAGGGCGGGCAGCAGGGCGACAGCTTGGCGGCGGGGACTCCAGGGCTCCTGGGTTTGAGGCCTGGCTCCCCTCACTCTGTTTGGGCTCTGCCCGAGCTGCAGACAGCGGGTGGGAGAGGTCACAGCCCCTGGGTCACAACCCCTGCGCAGTCCCAGTGTCGCCAGCATCACATCCCCGCACGTTTGATGTGCACAGCACCCCACAGGGAGCTGGGCCTCGGGGAGGAGGGTTGAGGTCCCAGCACGGCACAGCTGGGGGAGGGCTGGAAGGAGCCCCTGCAGAGCACCCCCTGGCTCTGCTCTCAGAGAGCTGGGGGCTCCCTGGCCTGGGCTTTGCACCCCTGCCGGGCGGCTGGCAAGCCCCCACTGGCAGAGTTCCCACTGCAGCCCGCCCTCAGGAGGTGTCTTCCCATCCCGCTCCAACCTGTTCCCCTGCACTGGAGCCCTCTGACCCCAGCCCTGCCTGCCTCTTCACTCACCGAGTGCGGGTGCCCAGGGGCAGGGAACGGCTTGGTGCCTTCAAAATTCTTTCTGTAGCCCCACTCAGGCAAGTGGTCCTGCTTCAGGGGGCTGGGGTCTGAGTCCCTGCCTGTCCCCCACTGCGCCCCACCCCACATGCCTGGCTCCTGACCCAAGGACTCCTGTCTTCCTTCTCTCTCTCTTTCTTTCTCCCAGGCAGTAGTCTGGAGCTGAGAGCTTGCCCCAGACCTATGCCTTGGCCTGCACACAATTTAAACATTTAGGAGACTAGTTGTCAAAACGTAAAACTTGGAAAATTTCATGTAGCAACTGAGATTTCCAGTTTTCCCCCACCCTCCGCCACTCCCCACTGGGCAGCATTAATTCTTTTTTTTATTTGTTTTGAGACAGGGCTTCACTCTGCCATTCAGGCTGCCCTTGAACTCATTATGGAATCTAAGCTGGCCTCAAACTTGTTTTGACCTTCCTGCCTCAGCCTCCCAAGCGCTGGGATTACAAGAGTGTGCCACCATGCCTGGCTGGCAGCACTGTTTTCAGATGGGATCAATTGGTTGGTGCTGAGGACTACATGCCCCTCTGGTGGGGCTGTAGCCACCCGCCCGCTAGCCTCCTTGCTGACATTGCTGTCAGCCCCACAGGTGGGGACAGGAGGCCCTACAAACCCAGAGCTATTAGGTGTGGGTCCATCTTGCAGGACCTGGGGCTTTGTAAACCCGAGGCCGCACCCAGCCTGATTGCTCAGCACCTCTGGGAGGGACCAAGGTTGCAGCATTCTTAAAGCCCCTGCTGGTCATGCTAGTGAGCAGCAAGGCTCAGAAGGACCTAGTGCCGGCCCTGGTTGCAAGGGATTTGCTGCAGGTGTTTCTGATGGTCTTGCTTTGTGGCTTTCAACAGGCGCAGGGCCCAGCCCTGGCCGCGCTCAAGGAAGGAGCTCCCTGTCCCTCTGGCCGGACACTTCCATCTGTCCTCAGTGCGATACCTGACGTCTGGGGCCCAAATACTGGGCTCAGCTGAGAAGGCCGAGTGTAAGCAGCTGCCATAGGGCCCAGGGCTGCATCTCTGAGGCAGATTCCCTGCTATATATGGTGCCCCGCAGTCCCGGCTAGTGTGTGATCTAATCTGCTGGCAATCTCTCCCAGGCTGGGGCCTGACTTGGGGAGAGCCTAACCCTAGAGAATGTTCACTTAGGGGCACAGGGGCTGGGAGGCGCCAGACAAGGCCTGTGGAGGCAGAGCAAGGACAAGATGACCAAGATGGCCCCAGTCCCACCCAGCTCTGTCTGCCTATGAGAGATCTACCTTGGTGCTCTGTGTAAACAAAGAAACCCACCAGCCGCTGTGCGTTCCAAAGTCCTTTTAATATAGCATGAAAAGGCTATATTTCCAAAGGCAAGGCGTATACAGTCTCCAGGAATAAGGCACACACCGGAATGCCATCCCGAGGGCGGCCCTGCGGGGAGCCAGGCGCCGTCTCCACGTGCCCGCCCAGCGGGGCCCACGGGTTCTGTTTGTCTTTCAGCTGGACATACACATACGGACATCACAGACACGGACAGGGTCACCACACAGGGGGCGGAGGAGGTCCAGCAGCTGGAGCTGGTCACCACAAAGGTGATCATAGACACCACCAGCCGCAGGCGGCCAGGGAACAGTCCCTGGGTCACCTCCTCTCCAAAGGCTGGGATGCCCCCACCCTTCGCATTAGTTGCTGCACTGGGCTACAATGTAGTGAGGTTGGGTTAAATACGTGTTTAGAGTAGATTCAAATCTATTAGATGCTGGAGGCAGGCGTGAGGGTTCTGGCTGACCGATCCGAGTTCAAGAGCAGGGCCCGGAGGGTCAGGAGAAGAGTCCCCAAGGCTCCCCCTTGCTCCACGGGCCTTGCTGGCCGGCCGAGAGGCTGGATCATCTCATGTTTCCATTCTTCTCGTCCCCTCCCTGCCCTACCCTACAAGATTAATAAAACCGTAGTAACAAGATAATAACAAGAAGGTGCAGGAAAACAGATTACAAGGTGGCGTGGCTATCCTCAGCGGAGGGAGTTACCGTTCCCTTTTTTTGCTATGTATCTAATAATAGCTCCCCTTTTAAAAAAAAAAGCAATACTTTCCAAAATACACATATGTATAAATACAGGACAAGAACACATTAATAAGTCTAAACATTTGAATAATATGCTGGCTACTTAATACTGATATTTTCATCCCAGGAAATACAGAATAACAACAACATGGCTTAAAGAATTGCAGAATTTTTTTTTTCTCATCAGAATTATGTACCAACTTCATATAATATTCTATGTAGACAATATTTCCTTCTTAATGTAGTTCAGTTGCATACTTTTTACAGACCAAAGCATAGTAAAAAACAAAATTTTTAAAAAACCAAACAAAAACCAGTAACAGGAAAAAAAGAAGTTCTCACCATAAATATTTTCTTGTAGTTCAACCAGAAGATTTTTAAAAACACTTCCAGAAATCTGTGTTTGATATTCTATTGCCCTCCTAGAAGGTCTAAAGTTTTTAGAATGCCTCTCTTTTTGTTTTTTAATCTAAAAAAATCAAGCCATCCTATTTTTCTTTTGTTTTTGTGGTTTCTTTTTTAAAAAAAGGCCCTCAAATATATACAAACAAAAATCACTGTGAAGATTTTTGGGGGGGAGAAGCTACCAAATTCAGTGTTGTGGGGGGAAAAAAAGTGGTAACCATGCAGAAATTTTAACATCTATGCATTTTTTCCCTCAAAATACACACATAGTACTTTTTGTTTTTTAAAAAAGGAATTCTGTGTCAAGTATAACTCAAAATAAATACAAATTCACAAGTAGAGCTATCGAATACTTCGTATGGGGTGAACACCATGATCTCCCAACTAGATCGCTAGATCTACCAACCGCAGACGATTGTCCCTTTTTGAATGCACAAACACTGAAGCTTTCTTGCCTCTGGGCTCCCTGGCCCTCTGAGCGCTCAGTTCTCGCGGCATACAGCCCAGACAGTGTTGTCTTCCGCCGATCACAGAGCCCCCCTCCCCACCCCCAACAGCGCAAGAAGGCCCATGGGGGTGGCCGCCTCAGGCCTAGCCCCCGAGGTGGCCACTTGCACAGATGGCCTGGCAATGGCTCCCAGCTGGACCAGCCTGCTGCGAAGGTCACTTAGGGGTGATATCCTATTTCCTTTTGGCCCTGGCCTGCTATGATCTGGAGCCTGGGTTCTTTCTAGGGTGTGAGTTTCCCCAGCCTGCGCAGCCCAGTTGCAGGCCCCAGCCGTCCTCAGGTCGAGGGTCCCCATGCTCCGCTGGTCCTCCAGGGGAGACAAGCACACTGTCCACCGCTGGGAGCATTCTCTTAGAGCTCCAGCAGGATGACTGCTGTCTGCAGCTTCTTCTTGGGGACAGAAGCCTTAGGCCCAGGCCGCTCAGGTCACCCCAATGCAGTGCTGGGCTGGGGAGTCCCCAGTGGCAGTGCCTAGGGGTGGGTGGTGCTGCCAGTCTGCTGCCAGCATGCTGTCCAGGCGGGCAGCAGCTAGAGGGCACAGCTGCAGCAAACGCACCTGGGTTTTAAGTGCTCAGAGGATGGGGCCACCCAAAATCTACCCTGCAGCCCCCCTGGCCGCAGGTCGCTCCACCTCTACTACCCACTCCCTGGACCCTTGGTGAGCACTTTACTGTAAATCCTCACTTGCACAAAGCATTTTCATTTAAATACTAAAGGTGACCCGGCACCGGATGGGTGTCCTGGAGCCATGGTAAACACTGGATTTCAGGCCCATTTGTGGTCTGATTTTTGTTTTGTTTTGTTTTGTTTCCCCACAGAGGCACAATCTTGGGGAAAAATCAAGTGACCCAATGCTGCCAGCTGGTTCTGTCCCTGCCCCATGAGAAAAGAAGGACAATGGAAGCAGGGCTTCCGGCTGGGGAGAAAGGAAGGCACGTGCCTGCTGCCAACCAGGACTGCGGCCTCCCTCAGCGTGTGACGTGCCACGAGGCCTCTCTGCTCCTCGGGAGGTAGGAAGTCACCGTCCTCCATCTCCACCCGACAAGTTCGGTGGCCTGTCTCAGGGCAGCCCCCTGGGAAGGGCTGGGGGAGGGGGAGGGGTTCTTGTCCATTTTTTGGCAGGGGAAAGGGACAACAGGTTGGGCAGCTGCAGGAGGGCTCTTCATCCCTCAGCCTGGCTTCCTAAGTGGCCACTGAGGGGGCAGGGGTGTGAGTAAGCGGTACCTGGGAGGTGTCACCCACATCTAGGGGGGTGGATATCCCCAAACAAAGTGCTGGTCCAGGAGGCAACCTGGCCAGCCTGCTCCTGGGACATCAGAGCTCTCAGGGGACCTCTGTTTTCTAGTGTCCTCCTCTCTCCTGATGGGGAAACTGAGGCTGGAGATGTGACATTCCCCCACACGGCACAGTGCATCACCAGAGGGCCAGGCCTGTGTCCTTTGAACTGAGGCTTGCAGCCATGACGGCTCCCCAGGGGGGCAGGGGGCAATGGGGATGGAAGGGGAATGAGGCTGACAGGACGCAGGCCGGTGGGATGTGTGGGGGGCCGTGGGAGCGCCCCTATGAGCCCTGGGACACATCTTAGAGCGCCGTCCAAGATGCGGACAAGGTGGCTCAGCGCCACCTTCTGACCTGTGCTGCCTGGGCCTGGGGTGGGGCAGCTCCCAGGCGCGATGAGGTGACATCAAGGGGGTCGGGATTTGGGGCTCCCCGTGGGCAGGGGACACAGGCCCACTCCCCAGCGCTGCGCACAGGTGGCTGTGCACGGTGGCTGCTTTCTGAGTGGCTCTGCACACAGGGCAAACGGGACGGTTCTGAGCAGGAGGGGGCCTGGCTGGCCTGGGGACACGACCCCTGTGGGCTTTGGGATTCACAGTAAATTTGGTGCACTCGTGGCCAATGCAGGCTGCTCACCCCAGAGGGCCTCCCAGAGGAGGGAGCCCTGGGACAGAGATCTCAACAACACTGCCACCACGCGTACACGAGGCCAGGGGACACGCGGCCCCCTGCGCAGCACAGGGAGGTGGTGGGCGGTGGCGGCGTCACTGCACGCGGCGGCAGTAGTAGCCCAGCACCTTGCACTTCTCGCAGAGGTGCTGCGGGTGCTCCTTGCTCTGGTCGGACACGTCCAGGCCGTCAGGCTTCTCCAGGGGTCTCTGCAGGGGGACAGGGTGCAGGGAGAGGCAGAGGGGCAGGGACGTGGGGAGGCCAGAGCGACAGAGACAGACAGGGACAGGCAGAGACACCGAGAGACAAAGATGAGAGATACACAGAGATGAAAGAGACGAGGTACATGGGGAGAGGCGGAGACAAAGAGACAGAGACACAGACACAGAAGGCAGCAGAGAGACACAGAGGCACCAGAGGGCGAGGAAGGGAGAGAGGGAGAGAGGGGGACAGTGCTATAGTCACCGAGGCCCTGGGAGGGCGCCCAGCAGCTCTCGGCCTCCTGCCCCCCACTCTGCACAGCTCTGACCCAAGGTGCCGGGGAGGGTCTTCTCCCGGGCCCTGGGCACACTGCTCCCATCTCTGGTGCCACCTGAAGTTCACAGGAGTCAGGACAGGGCGGGACAGGGGTTCAGAGACTTCTAGGCAATGACACTGAGTCTCTGGGTGAGGGGGACACCTGATCCCCAGAACCCACCACTTCGTCCCAGGCCACGTGTCACTCCTGACCCTGCTCAGGGACCTCACATCGCAGAGCGTGGCTCACCTGGACACTGTCACACACAGCACCTGCTGCTTGGGGTGAGTGCACCCTGAGCTCCTTGGAGTCCACAGCCAGGGTTTGGATCCTCCCCCACCCCAGGGCCTGCTCTGTTTGTTGAGCTACTCCATGAGTGGAATGTCACTGCTTTCTGTTAGGGAAACTGAGGCCTGGCTTCCTGAGGCAGGTAAGAGCATATTTCTTTTTTCTTTTTTTGTCTTTGAGACAGGGTCTCGCTGTGCAGTTCAGGCTGGCCTTGAGCTCACTTTGTAGCCCAGGCTGGTCTCGAACTTGCAGCAATCCTCCTGCCTCAGCCTCCCGAGTGCTGGGATTACAGGCATGCGCCACTACGCCCGGCCAAGAGCACATTTTTGACGGACTGGGAATGTCCCTGCCCCTCTTCCCTTTCCACCCGCTCTCAGAAGCCAGCAAACACTCCCTGGGAACATCATGGAGGCTTTGGGAGCACTCCAGCAGGCAGTGTCCCCCTCTAACCACAGGCTCTCCCTGACTCCTGCGTGTAGAGGGTCCCCTGCACAGATGTGGGGGACTCGGAGGAAGCCGGCCATAACCAGTTGGGGCTACAGGCTGGTGTGGGGCAGGGGATCCTCAGATGCCTGTGACACTGACCAGGTGGTAAGGGGAAGGCAGCTGAGGCAGGAGAATGGCGAGTTTGAGCCCAGCCTGGGCAATTTCAACTTAGTGAGGCTTCATCTTAAATTAAAAAAAAAAAATTAAAAAGGCCTGGGACATGAGATGTTCTCCAAAATAAACCACACACAAACTCATAGAACATGTTTAAGTAAATGCAAAGGAACTGAATATTATCAATGCATATTATCAGACTATAGTGCAATGGAATTGGAAATCAATGGCAAAAGAAACCACAAGAATTTCATAAACACATGGAAATTAAATAGCACCCTCTTGAACAACCCATGGGTCACAGATGAAATTAAAGAAGAATTTAGACAGTTTCTACAATTAAATGATAATGACAGTACAATATACTGGAACTTATGGGACACGATGAAAGCAGTGCTAAGAGGGAAATTTATAGCAGTGAATACCCATATCAGAAAAACAGCAAGTACAAATAAACAACGTAATGATGAACCTCCAACTTCTAGAAAAAGAAGAGCAGGCCAAGCCAAAAGCTCCTACAAAGGAGGAAATTACAAAGATGACAGTAGAAATTAATGCACTGGAGACTATGGAAACAATACAAAGTATCAATGAACTGAAGAGTTGACTCTTTGAAAGATTAAATAAAATTGACAAACCCTTATCCAACTTGATCAGAAAAAGGAAAGAAAAGACTCAAATCCATACAATTAGGAATGAAAATAGTGAAATCACAACAGACCCTACAGAAATCCAGAAGATCATCTACACTTACTTTGAAAACTTGTATTCGAATAACATGGAAAATGCAGAAGAAATGGATGGATTACTAGATACGTATGAATTACCAAAGCTGAATCAAGACAGGAAATCCTAAATCAACCAATATCAATCAATGAAATCAAAGATATAATTAAAAACCTACTAACAAAGAAAAGCCCAGGCCCTGATGGAGTTACTGCAGAATTCTACAAGAAATTTACAGAAGACCTACCACCACTACTACTCAAACTCTTTAATGAAATTGAAAAAGAAGCCATACTCCCGAATTCATTCCTGGAAGCAGGCATTACCCTGATACCAATACCAGAGAAAGACCCAACTAAGAAAGAGAACTACAGGCCAGTCTTCCTAATGAACATAGATGCAAAAATCCTCAATAAGGTACTGGCAAACAGAATGCAGCAAACCATCAAGAAGATTATACACCATGACCAAGTGGGATTCATCTGGGATGCAGGGATGGTTCGACATACATAAATCAATAAATATAATACACCGTATTACCAGAGCCAAGGACAAAAATCATAACGATCATCTCAATAGATGCAGAAAAAGCTTTTGACAAAGTCCAGCAGCCCTTCATGATAAAAAAACCCTACAGAAAATTGGAATAGATAGTCTTTATTTCAATCTGATAAAAGCCATCTATGACAAACCTACAGCCAACATCATACTACAAAAACTGAAAGCTTTCACTCTAAAATCAAGAACAAGACAAGGATGTCCACTGTCACCACTCTTATTCAACATAGTCCTTGAAACTTTAGCCAGAGCAATTACACAAGAGAAAGAAATAAAAGAAATAATGATAAGAAAGGAAGAAGTTAAATTATCATTATTTGCAGATGACATGATACTCTACGCAGAAGACCCCCAAAACTCCACTAAAAAATGGCTAGATTTAATAAGCGAATTCAGTAGTGTAGCTGGATACAAAGTCAAAGTCAAAAATCAATAGCCTTCCTGTACAGGAATAACAAACTCACTGAGAGAAATTAGGGGAACAGCACTTTTTGCAGAATAGCATCCAAAAAATGAAATACCTAGGAATCTATCTAACGAAGGATGTAAAAGACCTGTACATTGAAAACTACAGTACTCTGAAAAAGGACATTGAAGAGTATATTAGAAGATGGAAAGATATCCCTTGCTCTTGGGTAGAAGAACCAATACAGTGAAAATGGCCATACTTCCAAATTGTTATACAGATTTAATGCAATCTTGATCAAAATTCCAACAGCATATCTCACAGAATTAGAGAAAACATTCCTAAAATTCATTTGGAGCCAGAAGAGATCTAGAATAGCAAAGGCAATTCTGTACAACAAGGGCAAGGCAGGGGGCGTTACAATCCCTGACATGAAATTATACTATAAAGCTACTGTGATAAAAACAGCATGGTACGGGCATAAATACAGACCTGAAGATCAATGGAACTGATTAGAAGATGCAGAAACAACTCCAGACATCCTCAGCTACTTTCTCTTTGACAAAAGTACCAAACACACTCACTGCAAGAAAGATAGCCTCTTTAATAAATGGTGCTGGAAAAACTGGCTCTGCACCTGCCCAAGACTAAAATTAAACCCATATCTTTCACCATGCACTAAAGTAAATTTGAAGTGAATCAAAGATCTAAATATTAAAACAGAAATATTAAATCTGCTCAAAGACAGAATAGGTAAAACTCTTGAAGATATTGGTGTAGGCAAAGACTTTATGAATAAAACCCCAATAGCACAGGAACTATCACAAAGAATCAACAGTGCATCTCATCTTATTAAAAAGCTTTTGCACAGCAAGAGAAACCATGAACAGAGTGAAGAGACAACCCACAATGTGGGAAATAATGTTTGCCAGCTGTTCCTCAGACAAGAATTACTATGGAGAATATATAAAGAACTCAAAATATCAGACCTCCCAAATTTAAAGACCCAATCCATAAAGAGGCATCTGAGATGAATACATACTTCTCAGAGGAAGAAATACAAACAGCAAATAAATATATGAAAAAATGTTCAACATCACTGGTCATTCAAGAGATGCAAATTAAAACAACATGAGAGTCCATCTCACTGGGCAAAGAATGGCTATCAGCAAGAAATCAACAAATAACAAATGCTAGAGGGGCTGTGAGAAAAAAGGAACCATTTTCTACTGTTGGTGGGAGCATAGACTGGTGCAACCACTATGGAAATCAGTGTGGAGATTCCTCAAATAACTAGGATTGGAGGTTCCATTTGACCCAGCTATTCCCATGCTGGGTATCTTCCCAGAAGAATTTAAATAACCATACCAAGGCAATATATGTGCACCCATGTTTATAGCAGCACAATTTGCAATAGCTAGATCTTGAAACAACCCAAATGCCCATCAACCAAGGAATGGATAAAAAAGATGTGGTCTTTTTATACAATGGAGTACTACTCAGCCATAAAGAAGGATAAAGTGGAGACTTTTATAGGTAAATGGATGCAATTTGAGACCATACTCATAAGTGAAATAAACTAGACACACACGCGCAAACACCATATTGTCTCCCTAGTGTGAGAAGTAAGAGTAAATAAGATCCAAAATGTAGAATAGATATTGTAAAATGGGAAGACCACTGTTCAAAAGGAAAGAGAAACTGGTATGGGGAAAGAAGAAAAGGAAAGGAAAAGCCAAAAAAATAGGTGTAGATATAGATATAGATATAGGTATTTATGATAGTTCAGATAGCTATACTACTAATTTCTTAGTTCACTGAAAAGAAAGGTTTGTGCCAATATTGTTTGGCCAATTAAATACCTATATCTTGTATTCTGAGTAACTGATTTAAAGATAACAATAGATGATATGTTAACCATTGTTACCCTATTATCTTGTTTTGAAATTTTTTTTCTCTTTGAAAGAAAAAGAAAAGCCTTGGTCCCAGCACTAGGGAGGCTGAGGCAAGAGGATCATTGCGAGTTTGAGGCCAGCCTGGGCTACAAAGTGAGCTCAAGGTCAGCCTGAACTGCATAGCAAGACCCTGTCTCAAAAAAAAAAAAAAAAAAAAAAAAAAAACCAAGTCGTGGGACTGTAGGTCAGTGTGGAGGCTCTGGGTTCAGTTCCTACTATGCTGACATTTTTCTCCGGATACAACCCCTCAGCGGCGATAACCACTAGAAAGAGCAGCTCACACCGGAGCTCTGAGTGTCACTCATGCTTATTATTAATGGGACCAGCACTGGCTGGTACAGGGTCCCTCAGAGTTGAACCCAGGGGAGAGGGCCTCAGGAGGTGAGGGTCCCTGCTGTCCCACGACTCCCAGTGGGGACTACAATGGGACCTACACCTCATCCCTCCACACCCCCAGCCCGGGGAGCTCTGCTGGCCAAGCATGGCCCAGCTCACTGTCCACACTGTAAGGGCTTCTCCACCTTGAGCTGGACTCTGGGTCCCTGCACTGTCTTTCTGGATACCCCAGCCACACAGACCCTGGGGCTCTCTGCTCGGCGCCCATAGGACACCTGACCAGGGCAGCTCTGAAGGTTCCCTCCCAACCACCCCGTGCTGGCTTCTGGCTGCCTCCCACCACTGCCCACAGTTTGGCGGCCAGGGCCCCTCCCTCACCTGGCCGCCCGGGGGACCTGGTCGGGTCCTTGTGGAAAGCATAGAAGGCTGCAAACTGGCCGGGCATGGTGGTGCATGTGTTTGATCTCAGCACCCTGGGAAGCTGAGGCAGGAGGATGGCAAGTTCAAGCCAAACTGGGCAACTTGCTGACTTAGGGAAACTCTTTCTCAAAAAAAAAAAAGAAGAGCTGGGGATGTAGCTCAGTGTGGAGGCAACCACACACACACACACATCTGTAAAGTGATTAGAAAGGTACCTGGCACCGGGACAGACTCTGAGTGCAGGCTGGCATTAACACCCTGTATTATTGGCAGCATTGTGCAGGGCTGGGGCAGGCTGGGTGGCTTACAAACCCAAGGCCCTGCAGAAATGGAAAAACTCTGGCACTATCTTCACCAGCCCCCGCCCTCCGGGCCTCGGTCAGCTGAGTCTTTTCCTCCGTGGCTGTGACCTCTGCGTCCCGGGGTCTCTGTGTGGGCCCCGGCCTGGCCGCTCAGCCCTGCTCAGCCTGCTGCCTGTGAGGAGTCGGGGGGTGGGGGTGGGGGGGAGTGGTCAGGAAGACCCCTCTTCGGAGGGAAAACACCAGCAGCTGGGACTGATCAGCCAGGGCCACCCCCACCCGCTGCAGGGAGCCCAGGCCCAGCAGTGTTTTCTTGAGGGGGCGGGGCCAGCAGGGGGCAGCCACAGCTGGAGCCTGACAGGAAACAGATGTGGCAGAGGCAGACCGTGGGGAAGTGCAGGGCTCCCAGGGGGTGCTGTGGCCCAGGTCAGCGCTGGAGAAACCAACAAGCCCCTCTCCGCACGCACGGGGATCTGAAGGCTGGGGGTGACAGAGCTGGCTGCGTGACCTGCTCATGACCCATTACCCTTCCCACCTCCGTATCCCCCAAGCACACAGTAGGTGCTCAACAAATAGCAGCTGGACACTTGAGAGAGGGACCAGGAGAGCCACTCTCTTGAAAGATGCTTCAAGACTGGGCTCTCCGAGGCTCTGTTCCTGCGGATGAAAGCGGGGCCACGGTGGTCAGGGGCAGCCCTGGGGCAGTGCAGGCCTGGCAAGATGGAGGGACACTGGATGCTAGGGCCACTGTGGGGAGCCCAGTCCTGCTGGCCTTGGCTCCTGAGTGGGCCCTGCCTCTCTGCCCAGGTCACTGAGAGGGCGAGAGCCACACACGCTGAACCCCAGACCTGTGGTGCAGACTCAGGCAGCGGCCAGGACGAGTCTGAGCCCTGCAGACATCCAGCCACTCCAGCTCCCGGCCCGGCCTGCCCTCCCTGCGCCCCGCCCTGCCCCCTGCCCTTCCGGACCTCATTACCCAGCGGCGCAAACCTGGTCCCTCTTCACAAATGCCAGCGCCTCTGCTGACCTTGGGGGAACCACTCAAACCCCGTGCCTCACTTTCTTCCTCTGAGAAACGGAGAAACAAATAGGCCCAACCCCGTGGGGTGTCAGGGAGGGCGACAGGGATAAAGTCTTGGAGGGTGAGTACAGGTGGGCGGGCCGGGACACACACTGCAGCCTGCCTGGCCTCGGGGCGGGACGCCTGGCTCAGCTATCTCCAAATAGAAGCGCCACTCGCCTCCCACTTGGGGACGCCCACGTGAACGCAGAGACACATGACCAGGGTAACTGTCCCCAAGCGAAGCCCGGAGCCCCCTCGCTTTCCAGCTCCCACGAGTGCCCTTGCCCAGCGCTGGCCACTGTCCTGTTCCTTCGTAGGATGGCCGTCCCCACTGTGACAGGTCCAGCTAACGACTGCTTAGGTCAGGGCAAAGAGCGCGCCCGCTGGGAGGTTTCCGCTTCGCAGTCGGCCAGCGCAGGTTTTCCCGGGGTGAAATGTCTCTGCTCAGCGCTGCCCAGAATCCCACACGCCGCCCCGCGAACAGCAACCAGCGGCCCCAAGCCCCTGTGGGCCTCACCACGGCCACCTCTTCCTTCGTTTTAAAATACGCCTGGGGTCTCTGTTCCCGGGATCTTGGTGCCAGTGCCCTTTGCCTCTTTCCTGTCCTCGGGAAATGGGTTCTCCCAACCCATCCCATTTCAGATGAGACAACTCGGTGAGAGCTCAACTCATTTCAATTGTATAAAGGAGTAAAACTAGGCCGGTAAGGGACAGTCTCTGCAGAGACTGGCCTGTCACTGCCGTCCTGCCCCGCCCCCAACGTTGCCCCTCCCACCCACGTGACCCCTCCCACCCAACGTGACCCCTCCCGCCCAACGTGACGCCTCCCACCCAACGTGGCCCCGCCCCACCCGGCCCCTGGCTCACCTGCTTGTGCGGGTACACATTGATGTGGCACTTGATGCACTCCTGCCCCATGTTGGCCCAGGAGTTCCCGCTCATCCATTTTCTCTTGCACTTGGGACACTTGTACTCGCCGAAGCAGCGCTTTTTGCCCTGGTACGGCGTCAGACCCTCGCCTTTGGGGCGTGCCTAGAGGACGGGAAGCAGACACGGTGGGCTGGGGTCCAGGAGGCCAGCATGATGTCCCCATGGGGTACTTCTGCGTGCAGGCACCTTTTGACCCAACCTAGAGAGTGCCAAGGTCACCTGCAAGGCACCCCGGGAATCTCAAATCCCCCTCCCCCGCCACAAGGAGGTAGAGGAGGGGACATCTTTAGGGACGGAAGTACCCAATGTGTAGGTGTCATAAGAGGCAGCTGGTGGTCACCGGGACCTGCACGCAGTGACAGCCCAGGCACAGACACTGGTGTGTGGTGGACACGAGTCTCCTCCCAGCCCCAGCTCCCCACTTGCAGAGCCCCTAACTTCTCTTCTTGCACCTCAAAGGCGGGCTCTGCATTCGCACTAAACAGTGCATATGCGGCCGCACTCTTTCCCTCCTGCAGATGCAATCAGACTGCACATCTGGCTCCCCCGCTTGCAGTTCTTTGCGTCGGAATGTACCTTCGTGTCCCCTGCGCCCCCCCATTGAGCACACGCAGTGTGACCGTGCTCTGTGTGACAGCTGTACAGTATTAGAACACAAGCAAGTTCGGGGCGCCTTTGCCAGGCAGCATTTCAGAAAGCGTAGGTTGCTTTTTTTCTTTCTTTGGTTGTTACAAACAAGGCCACTCTGGTTGGCTTAGTACCTCTCATGGTGCACGTGTGTGAGTATACTCGCTGGATACATTTGTAGCCGAGAAGCTGCTGCCTCGGTGGGCATGCGCACTATTAACGATCACGGCTACATCCAGCACGCACGCCAACGTCATTGTCTCCAATCTTCCCAGCAGAACTATCATCAGGGTAACCCCCTTTTCTGCACTTTTGCTCCCCACAATTTTGTTTGCCTCGGTGTGTTTCAGTTATCTTTGGTCAACTGTGGTCCGAGAATGTCACACAGAAAATTCTACAAATAAACAATGCATAAGTTTTGAATTGCACAACAGTTCTGAGTACATGATGAAGTCTCCAAGGGTGGGATGGGAGTCACCCTTTGCCCAAGGCATCTATGCTATTGAGGCTGCTGCCCCTTAGTGTGGCAGTCCTGAGCTCAAGAAGCCCTAGCACTTGGGAGGCTGAGGCAGGAGGATTGCTGCGAGTTTGAGGCCCACCAGGGCTACATAGTGAGACTGTCTCAAAAAACCAAATATAAATAAATGGATAAAATGCATGTTAGTTTTGCTGTTGCAATTCAAATTGCAGAAATTATGCAATTTTCAATAAAAATAACTGCAGAAAGTAATTAGTTAAGACAGAGAGGCATTAAATTACAGCCTCCAGTCATGTCTATGGGTTCAGGCATCTACTGAGGGGCCTGGAATGGATCTCCTTAAATAAAGGGAAGACTGTGGTATCACCAACCTAAAAGGTAGAAAATCTCAGAGTAGCTTTGACTTGTATGTCTTCTATCATGAGGGAGAGGGAATTTTCCCCATGTATTCAAGAGGTACTTGTGTTTACTTTGTGAGCTGTTTCTTCATCTTCTCTGTAATTTTCTTTTTTTCTTGATGAGGGCTTGATTTTTTTTCTTGCTGATTTGTGACTGCACTTTCTATATTACAGAAGCTGGTGCTATTCTGCACAGTGTTTTAAAAACAGCTTTACTGAGAAACAATCCACATATACAATATCTCACCCATTTAGAGTGGGCAATACAGAGTTGTACACACGTCACCCCAACCCAATTTGAGGACTGCCACAAAGTAGACCTGTGCCCATTAACAGTTTTATCCCACTGTACCCTCACATTCTCACACCACCCGGCCCTTGCCAACCACTAATCTGTTTTCTGTCTCTACAGATTTACCTATTTTAGAAACTTCATGAGTGGAAACATAGTACGTGTTCCCTTGTGTCTAGCTTCTTTTGTAATGTAATATTTTCTTCTTTCTAATGTAATATTTTCAAAATTCATTCATGCTGGAGTGTGTGTCAGGACCGCATTTCATTCTGGAAGGAGGGGTGTTGGGGTCACGGTCTCACTATATATGCCAGGCTGTCTTGAACTCACTATGTAGCTCAGGCTGGCTTCAAACTCATGGCAGTCCTCTTGCCTCAGCCTCCTGAGTATTGGGATATCAGATGTGTGCCACCATGCCTGGTCTTCATCCTGTTTTGATGTCAAATAACATTCCATTGCATGGGCTGGGGCATGTTTTATCTCTCCATCCCTCCGATGCTGGACATGTGGGTGGTTCCTAATTTTTGGCAATTATGAAGGAAGTGGCTGTGAGCATTTGTGTACACACTGAAGTGTTGTGAAGAGTTAGATTAGCTACTTTAATATTGAAAGGAGGAGGCATCACATAGAAACAGGCTCTGTGCTATGGTGATTCAGTGTGAACCCAGGCCGGCAGTGACGCCTGGCAGCTTGCTGCAAAAGCTTACCTTAGACCCCTCGCAGCGTCAGAATCTGCATCTGACGCAGGCCCCAGGGAACTCTCAGGCAGTTAGATCCGAGAAGCCCTGGGTGAGATGATCTTTCTAGAGCAGCTTCCCGGAGTAACTGCCTACTCACAGAGCAGTATATGGTGGCAAGAGCAGAGGTTCTGCAGGGCCAGGGTGGAGCTCGATGGTAGAACATCTGCCTAGCACATGTAGGGTTCTGGGTTCGATCCCAACCACTGGCAGAAGAAAAGAGTGCAGATTTTGGGTCCAAATCCTACCTCTGCTATCTTGGGCAAGTTACCGAGCAAGGAGAATGGACATCACCACCACGTAAGATGGCTCTGAGGATGAGCTGGCACATGTGACACACCGAGGACAGTGGTGGTACACAAGATGACACCGGTAGGGGCGCACATTTGTCATCCCAGTACTCCGGGCCATCACTGTGAGTTCGAGGCCAGCTTGGGCTACACAGTGAATTCAAGCTCATCCTGAACTCCACAGTGAGACACTGTCTCAAAAAACCAAAACTAAACTTGAAAATAAACACTTTTGTAAAAGAAGGTGACACAGAAATATTCGTACCATTATAATTGTTTCCTTACATTGGATAATAGTGGCATATAAAATTTAATTTCTTCTTCTACTCATCAAGCTTTCCCTTCTCTCCCTCTCCCTCTCTCTCTCCCCGCCACTTGGTGACAGCTTGCTAGAATTGCTGGAAGATGCTAAGCAAGGGTAAAGGTGCCAAGGGTGTAGTTCCAGGCTTGGAAGGGAGCAGCGCTGCCTGGCATCTTGGGATCCTTGCTGAACATCCGGCAGGAAAGTGGCGAGAAGGTTCTGTCCCCCTCCCCGCAGGCCTGAGAGGCTCATGACAGTGACAGCAAGGGACTCTCAGGACACAGCAGGGCCTGGCCTAGTCAGTGTGGCAGAGGGTCAACCTGTGTGTCCTTGGGAGCGTCTCCTGAGCCTTGTGCTGTGCCAGCTCCCCTGGGACCTGGCATCTGGCTCCTGGCAGCCTCCCCGCTGTCACCCTTCTGCAGCACAGGGTCCCTTCTCAGGGTGTCCAGCCTCCATCTACCCGGTGGAAGGCGACGAGGGAGCAGGTGGGTGCTGTGGCCGCAGTGGGGTCTGACACACCTCCACGGCAGGGGGCATCTGGGGTCTGTCCCCAGCAGGCTGCTCCAGGGTCTGGTTCCACAGTCTTCAGGACCTGGCTCCCGGCCTCACACAGCTGGGGCAAAGGGCAGGGTTCAGGGTATCAGAGTGGCCGAGTCATCCCATAAACCTCATCAGTGCAAAGCGTGGGAACCAGGCAGGGTTAGACGCAGACCCCAGTGAACAGGGAGCCTCTGTGCAGAAACCAGCGGGGAAGAAACACACCGAGGGAAGCGGGCGATGGGGGTACAGCGAGGGAGAAGCGGGAAGATGGAAGGAGGGTGAGCCAGAGACAGGGTCCTCCCGTGGGGCCAGATGTCCAGGGTGGCCATTCCCACAGCTGCCCGGCCAGGCCCTGGGCAGCCCCACACTGACACCGTCACACAAAACCAGGCTCAGATCCAGAGGCCCATGTCACAAACTGATTCTGCCCGTGACCATGTAGGGGGACTCAGCAGGTTGCCCGATGTCTCTGCACCACGGTTTCTCCAGCCGGGGGCTGGGGGATGACCAGGGGCTGCCTCCCAGGCTGTCGGGAGGATATGGGGCTGCCCGCCCCGCAAGGCCTCTGCTCAGAGACCACGCCACACAGGAGAGGGATGAAGGCCCTGGAGCTAACGGGGAAGCCAGGGCCATGACCTATGGGCACCAACTGGAAGAGGAAGGTCCCAGAAGGGGGTAAGGCAGGATCTCTGGCCCTGGGTCAGAGGACAGGGTGTAGCAAGCCAGAACAGGTGCAGCGTGAGGCTTCCTCATCCTCTAGATTCTCCAGGAAGGACCAGGAAAGGTGAAGCGAGGCTGCGGAAGCTTGGAGACAAGAGGAGAAAGTGGGTGTTTGTGTTTGTGTAGCACCACCCATGTGCCGGGCTTTACCCCAGGGCTCCCTGACAGCCAGGTGCCCATTCAATGCTTCCCAGAACGCTATGGGGCAAGGAAATCATCAGTCCATTCAGCAGCTGGTAAAACTGAGGCCCAGTGAGGGTGGGACTTGCTGAAGAACATCCATGTACACGGGGTGGGAAAGGCTCAGCAGGCGTCTCTCCAAGGCCACCCTTACTGCCACGGCCATCTGCCACCTCCAAGTGTGTCCCATCCACGAAGCCAGGAGCTGTGCGAGGGAAGGGAGGTCCCCCAGCTGCCAGAACCACAGCAGAGACCGCGAGGGCCTTCCGCCCTGTCTACCCCAAAGTCAGAGGGTATGGGGCCTGCCGGGCAGGCTAAGGAGGGTGTGGACAGAGGGGACCAGGAGGACAGCTGGCCAACAACAGTGTTCGGCCGCGAGAAGCCACTTCCCAGAAGGCTCTGTGGTCGGCTGGCGTTGTTTATGCTCCCCCACGAGGGCAGGGCCACAGAGAGAGGGCATTTCCACAGAACAAAGGCATCTCGGCCGCCCCGCAGGCCTCCTCCCAGAAAGCCACGGCCTCTTTTCATAAACTCCAGCACAAAACACTCACTGCAGACAGCTCTGGGGGCCACCACCCGCCCGGCTGGGCGGGACGCCAGGCCCCAGTAGGCTGGCTTGACCCAGGCCCGGCCTTGTACCCCCTGGGGAAGCCCACTGCTGGGAGCTGGACCATAAATCACCTTTCGTGGCACGGACAGGCCCTCTAGGGACCAGGGAGGCGAGGGCGGCGACTCAAGACACACAGTAGGTCAGAGAGGAGCTGGGGTGGGGGAGGGAGGCGGAGGCAGGGTCCTCTGACCTCTCAGTCAGGGCCACAGTCGCTGCAGGAGGGCAGCCTGAGAAGTGGGAGGCTGCGGCTGGTGGGGGTGGGAAGAGAGACCGAGCCAAGGAACTGAAAAGCCAGCAGTTGGGTGGGGACGGGGAGGAGCCAGCAGGCAGCTTGGGAGGAGGCAGAGGATGCTGACGCTGTCTGGATACTTCTGTGTTTCCTTCTCATCAGCTCATGAGTTCTCTTGAGGGTGGCTGAGAGGGGGTGAGTTCCCCATCACTGGGGGCATGCAAGTAGAGCCTAGATAAACAACAATCGGTGAGTGTGCTGGGGGACCTTTGCCTGGGTAAGGCAGTTAGGCCTGGTACCTCTGGTGGCGCTTCCAGCTCTAAGTCCTCCTGACCTTGGAGCTGCCGAAGACCAGAGAGGCAGGTGTGCAGAGGGGCTCCGTCAGGCACGGCGGGGGCAGGGTCTGGCCAGACACACTTCCTTGTTTCTGCAGGGTGACTCGGCCGCAGACCTTCAAACGTTAACAAATGTCTCCTCCTCCCCCCATGCACATCCATTTCTAGGTGACTGTCAGAGACGGGCACCAAAGTGCTGTCCCAGCTCACACAGCACGCAGGACAGTGAATGAAGAGCTGGCACGGTTCCGCATTCCAGAGTGCACAAAGCCTTCCTAACTCGCGCTCCGCCCGCTGGATGGGTGACAGGAACGCCATTAAAGCAGTGGCGATGACTGTTTTGTTAGGGGTTTGGGAAAATGCTTGGAGAGAAAGCAGGAACGCGCTGGACCCCTGCCCCTCTCCCACCGCGAGAAGGAAAAATGCACCAGGAAACAGCCGGAAGATGCAAGGTTCCTGGCCTGCAGCCCCTCCTGCCCACCAGGGGGCGCCCGGTGCTTTCCCAAGGTGAGAGCCCCACGGAAGAGGAGTCTGGATCTATCCTGGCCTGCCTCAGCCTGCAGCTGTGGACACGGGCTGGGCACGGGCACAGGCTGGCTTCTGGCTGTTGGATGTTTGGACCACGTGGACGTCTGTCAAGCCACCGTGCTCCCAGACTCCAAGGGCACGCCACTCCCCACCCTCCACCCCAGCGGCCCCCTCTGTGTTAAAGGCCCCCAAGGGATTCACCCCTTCTGCTGACCCAGCTGAATGGTCCCTGCCCCTGCTGTGTGAAACCCCTCCGGACTGAGTCACCCTAGGGCGAAGCTTGATCCTCACCTGCTCCCTTTAGACCTGAAGTCCCTTTTACACAGAAATGACAATTGTGGCCCTTGGTGGCTTGGGCCCACAGTGGCAGGACTCTCTGCATGGCATGGCTCCGTGCTGGTTTCTTCCCCAGTGTGCATGGCTCCTGCTCTTTGCATGGTCCCAGCTGTGGCCCTGAATGCTGCCTGGCCTCAGCTGCGGCCTCCGTGAGACCTGGCCTCCCCACCTCCGCCTGCCTGGAGGATGGGCCTGCACTCCGCCGGGCCCCGGGGTAGAGGAATAGTATCACCGACTGTGAGGGTCTAGCCGGAGCCCCTCTGTGCCCTTCCAGTCACCTTATGTGCAAAGAGTGTTTAGACCCAGCCTCAGATGAGAGCGCTGAGGCCTGCCGCACTTACATAGCTTGCTGGACTCCACACTGCCAGGCGAGGGAGTCCAGACCCAAACCAATCCAACTGGCAGCCCTTTTGAGAATTCCATGTGCTCTACGGGATCCCACAGAGAACTGCTGACCCAGGACAGCGAGAAAGCAAGGGGCTGCTACTGCGTCGGGTCCTGGCCTGCTGGGGGTATCTTCCCCTCTCTGGGCCTCCGTTTCCCTGCTCCCAGAATGCCAGGTGGGACTGGCCTTGGGCGAGCTTCTGGAAGCCTCACTCATGCTCCCCTCCCCACACAGTGCTAGTGGCCCCGCCTCCCACGGCCAGGTGCTGGCTGGAGCCAAGAGGGCAGGGGGAAGACAATGAACACATAGCCACTTCCTAACCTGCCACCCACAGCCCCTCAGCCTGACAGAGTACTGGAGGCCGAGCAGCTGCACTGGGCCCCGCGCCGTGGGACCAGGCCTGCACCCCACCACCTACTGCAAGGGAGGCTCTCCATGGTGCAGAGATAGGTCAAAGATGTGCAGAAACAGTCAGGCGCCCAAGGATATGGCCCCACCTCTGACCTCTGACCTCTGACCCCGGCCAACACTCAGTATTCATGCAGTCTGCTCATATTTACTGTGTATCCACTCTGAGCCAGACCTGGTAGAAAATACCAGGAATGTGGAAATAAATAAGGCACATGAGGAAAGCCCTGCCTCCATGCAGCTCACAGTCTGGGGCCTCTGAAAGTTCAGTCCTAGGACCCTTTCCTCAGCCGCAGCCCTGACTGTCACAACATCCACACCACAAGCCCTGGGGACCTACGCGCTCAGGTGGAGCCCACCGGGCCTCCTAGGTGACGGGCACCAGCCAATCACAACATGTGAGATGACCTCTAATCCATGCAACAGGCCCTCAAAATCAGCTCTTCACCCCCATGACAGCTGAGGAAACAGGCTTGGAACTGGGGCTGTGGGATGCCAGACATCACAGGATTAGGTAGCAGTAAGCCAGATCCAAAGCCAAGCTTGCTGAGGGCCCGGACCAAAGGCTTTCTTTCCCGCCTGTGCTCCAAGGCATAGCCTTGGGGACCCTCCAAAGACCCAAAACTCGAGAGTCCACATAGTACACACGCAGGCTGGGCATGTGGAGGCTGAGACAGCTGCAGGCTGCACGGAGGCAGCGGAAGCCGCGGGGCAGAGGGACAGGTGGGTTGGGCCGAGTGGCCTGCAGGATGCCGGGAGGGAGGAAGGACGCTGCCGTGAGAGGTCACCCTGGGCTTCCTCCGGGCCTCAAGGCCTTCTTGTCTGCGGCAGCGTCCTCCCTCCTCACAAGGCCCTGCCCCTGTCGGGGTTCCCGCTGCAGCCCAGCCTCCTGGGCACCCTCCCACCCTGTTCCCAGCGAAGCCACTGCGAAAATGCCATCCTGATTCCACAACACTAGGGTTTGTCCAAGAGCAGGGAACAATGGGTGCTTTCACAGTGACAGGAAAAGGCCTCAGGAAAACCCTGGGGAGGGGGCACGGCGGGTGGGGGTGGAGGGGAGTGAAGGGGCGAGATAGAGAGAGAAAAGGGGGAGGGCGGGGGGAGGGCCCGGGGAGGGGCGGGGCGGGGTACACAGAGCCAAGCGGGAATAAGACAGGGAGTGACAAGCAGATGATGGGGAGCCACCCCCAAGGGGAAGAGGAAGCCAGTGTGGAAGGGAATGGCGCTTACCGGGACCACAAAGCCCCTCCAGGATCTGGTGACGCGGGACCTCCGGCCCCACACACAGGGCTCCAGGCCCTGCGTCCATCACGAGACCAAACCTCTCGCTGTAAACCCCACCCCGCCCGCCGCCGTGTCTGAAGCAATCTCAGGCAGAGATTTTTGGAAAGGGAAGACTTTTAATCACATGTGCGGCCCCTCCCTGGGTTATCTGTTTCCTGCTTCTGGCTTTTCTCCCCCAGCCAACCGCACCATCGGGCTGAGGACAGGAGGGGAAGAGGGGCCAGTGCAAAGGGGTGGAAAACATCCGAATCACAGGCCTTGCAAAAGACAAGGGCTTCCCTCCCCTCACGTGACTGCGGAGCCCCGCTCCAGACCTCTGGTGACTGCCCAGGAGTGGCTGTCACATCCGCATGCTGCCGCCTGCCCGCCTGGGACTTGCTGTTGTCCTGAGTGAGCTGGTGTCCGCAGCATCCCTGCTGCGTGACTATGGGCCGGGCAAGCGCCTTCTCCTGACTGTACCCAGTTCAGCCAGGCAGGGCCCCCCTCCCCCGCCAAGCACTCAAAAGGCTGCTTTCAGCCTGGGGTCCCATCCCTGCAGGACTGAGACAAAGCACATGCCCTGGAGCCCCCTCCCCATGTGACTCCAGCCAACCCTCTACCCTTAGCTGTCACTCAACTCTTCTATAAAGCTCTCACTCAAATAAAACCAAAGTCACTTCCTGCAAGCGGCAGGTCACCCCCACGCCTTTGCTTTTGTGGGTCCCTGCCCCTAACTCTTTTCCAACAATGAATGTCCCTGCGTCCCTCAAGGGCCAGCTCAAGGGGACCCTTCCAGAGGCCCTCCCTCTGCCCTCCGAGTCCCAGGCTGGACCACTAGCTGAGACCTTTCTGCCTCCTCTCCAAAGAAGACCGAGCCCCCAAACTCCCAAGGGGATGGTGTGGTTGGCACGGCTCATCTGGCTGTGCGTCCTGCCCTGCCCTAATCTGGCCTCCAGAAGCCATACCGAATGATCTCAGCTGAATTTAAAGAGCTACACAAACTGCCATGTTATTTCCCATCAGCCTCTGCGTGGCCGGCCATGTGGGACCCTTGATCAGTTCTGTTTTACGCAGGGCCCAGGCCTAGGCTGGGGCTCAGAAGACAGGGTAGGCAGGTATGAGGCTAACAGAAAGGAGGGACAGGAAGGAGGTGACGCGCCGGGCGTGGTGGCGCACGCCTGTAATCCCAGCATTCGGGAGGCTGAGGCAGGAGGATCATGGCGAGTTCAAGACCAGTCTGAGCTACAAAGTGAGCTGAAGGCCAGCCTGAACTGCATAGTGAGACCCTGTCTCAAAAAGCCAAAAAAAAAAAAAAAAAAAAAAAGGAAGGAGGCGACAGGCCTGGGGCTGGGGTCTCTCCGTCCCCAGAACACACCTCCTGGGCAGCGATGACCACTCTGGCTGGCAGCACCTTATCTGTAGGCCCTGGGCCCCAGCTCTGCACAATGCCTCCCCCACCCTAGAGAGGCCTGGCTGGAGCCCAGCGCTGCCTGCCCCACGGAGGACCTGTGCTGGTCCTGGCGGGGAAGGCGGAGGGTAGAGGTGGAAAGGCCTTGGCCTGCAGTGAGGCTTTGGGTGTGAGGGCCAGGGCCGCGGGAGGAGGGGACAGATGGGGAGCTCGGCTCAAAATAGCGATGGGGGAAGGGTGCACAGGGCGGCCAAGTGCCAAAATACAGATCTGGTCGGCCCTGGCCGGCGAAACGCTCAAGTCAGCAGTTTGGGCCACTCTGGCAGGAGCCTGGGGTTGGGGCTCCTGCGGCTGCCTGGCAGAGGCTGCAGGCCCAACATAAATCACCTCCGCTCTGGCCTCAATCTCCTCTTCTAGTCGGCGGGAGGTGAGAGAGAAACAAGCTCCCCACTTCTGACAACATGCGCACAGAGCAGCGTCCACCCCACACCCAGGCTGGCCGCCCTGTACCCAGGCTTGGAGCTGGCTTCACTGTGACCCTGTTTCCGGACAAGGAAACGGAGGCCCAGAGGGGTCAAGTCACCTGTGCAAGGTCACAAAGCAAGTATGAGCCGGCCTTGAATCCTGGTCCATCTGGCCGGCATCACTTTCCCTCTCTGGGGCACGAGCTCTCTGAGGCTGGTGCTAGGTCACCTGTGGCAACTGGTACCCTGCAGAGCAGGAGTTAGGGGTGCCTGCGGCCAGCCCAGGCCTTTGCTGGTGGCTCTGCCGGATGTGCAGCACCCTGCTCCCCGCCCTTGTCTGTGGAACCCCACCTAAGAGTAACCCCGTGGGTGCCCTGAGGGAGGGGGGAGTGTGCCCCTCTAAGGGGCATCGATGGGCTGGCTGGTTATTTCACACTTGCCTTTGCACACCCAGGCTGCGGCGGGGCACATTCACGAAGTGCTGTCTTTCTGACCCAGCGCCCCAGCTTGGACTCCACAGAGCAGGCTGCTTCTGGCTTCTGCTCTCTGAACGCAGAATCCAAATCTCTAATGAACCCCTGGAGGAGACTGCTCTGCAGGGCTGGGGACCCACTCTGGGAACCAGCACCCCACACCACACCACAGCCATGGGAATGCTGGTCAGATACTCTCTGTCCTCCACAGCATCCCCATGTGCCCATTCGACAGCCCAGGACACTGAGGCTCACAGGAGGCAAGTGAATGGCTTAAGCCACACAGGAAGTAGGGAATGGAGCCCAGGGCTCCTCAGCCCACTGGCTGCAGACTGGGAGGGTGCTACCCCGGGATGGGGTGTATGGTCCATCTCCTAGCAGCAGGCCTGCTGGGGGTGCTGGGCGGGCAGGGGTTGGAGAGGGCCAGCAGAGCCCAGATCTGTGAGTCCTTGGCATCCGGAAGCCATCAGAGAGGACAGTGATCACAGAGAGAACCTGGAGGCGCAGGGAAGCAAATGCACTCAGGCCTGCGAGCCCCGCCTGCCACCAGCTCCTCATGGGTGTGTGCCTTGGCAAAGGCACGCACGGCTCCCAGCGGCTGGGAAAAGTCCGCTCCTAGCTGTAGACACAGGGGCTGCTGGC